TGATGTTTTTTGCATTCTAACCAGTAGCCTGTGAAACCATAACAAACTTAAGCTGATTAAATGGTAGCAGTATTGCAGCCAAACACAACTGAGAGCTGCGCAACATTGGCAAACGAGAACTAAGTTCTAGCAAACCCAGGGTTGTCTTTGTGTATTTGTGAATGAAGCGGCCATAATCATGGTTAAATCCTGTCATTGAAGCAAATGGGGAAATTTGCAACACCCTCACTCTAGCAATTTGGCAACACCCCCAGCCACTGGGATCCGCTGGGCTTTTGACTGGGACACACCCATGTGAGTCCTATCTGGAGTGCTACATCTGTATGTGTACACATATAAATCATTAGTCAAAACAGGGCTAAATTTGATTGAATTATAAAAGGTATATTTCGCAGATAAACCTATTAACCCCGACCCCTTAAAAAAAAAGGCTCTTTTGAACGGCTCTCGCGCAGGAATGGAGCCATAAGATCCGGCTCCCTTCAAAGAGCCATAATTCCCATCACTACCTTTAACCCAGATTATCAGTCTGTATTTGATTTCAAATAAATAATTATTAGAAGATATTACTGTGGATGATTATTCAGATGTACAATCAAATAAAAATGGGTTATATTCAACATTATATTGCAGTCACAGTAACCGAATTTCAGTGTTTCAGGAAAAACTAAAACAGCATTACGTGTTGTCTTGAGAGAGGGTACATATGGTTAATATGGATGTTGCATTTGCATTGCAAGGCTTTTCACTTATGCAAAAACAGTTGGCATGGAGTTGGACTTCAATTTCTTCTTTAAAGGGCCATTTTAACTGATCATAATTCCATTGTTGAGGTATACCAAAATAGATTTATACTGTGCAATTTTCCAAACTCACATTGGTTTCTCATACAGCATCTCTATATGTATTCACCGGTATTCACTCTCTGTCCTAAACGGCTTGTTGGAGCTCCTGCCCCCCCTAAATTAAGTTACATTGCTCATGTATGTGTAAACCATAACAGCCTGACTGTCAGCGGGGTACAGGGAGGACTGTTAATAACCAAATTAACCTTAACATCCTGAAAATGGGCTTGCTTGTTTTTATTAGTTATTTAAGATGTACTTAAAGTATCTGTTTTCATACATTAAAATGATTTGGACAGTACATAACATAAACCTTGAAAACTGAGCTTTAACAGTTCTGACAGTGTGACCCAGGGAAATCATCGCATTTTAAAATGAACGTGTTAGCGGCTTAATTGGTTTACATTCAAATATATTCCAAACTATTTACATTAAATCTGTTTGTGATAACAGTCCTCATATTAGCATTGCACTTGCTCTAGTCACGAAATGCACATACAGACAAAACACATGGCAGAGCAAAAAGAAAGTACAGGAAGTTCAAAGGTTTGTATACGTTTTAATTGAGATGCACATAAGTAATCATAAAAGTCCAAAAACCAATGAGAGGAGAATGAAAAAAAGTCAGCAGGAGATAATGGAGTACAGCAGTCCTTAGCACAGCCCCCCCCAAACCTGTCCAGTGTCACTGAGCAATCAGACACTGGTACAAGGATTGGGAGTGACCAGACCAAGAGGCAGCAGTCTGGAAACAGCTGGTTTCTCTAATGGCACATATCTTGTTTTGGAAAAACTAGAAAGACTAGAAAAGCACCTGGAAAACGACCCCCCTCCACCATGCCCTCCTGTGATGTCATCCAAAGGGGGAAATCATGTGGTCAGCCCTTTGATTCACATCAGTCCAGACTTCAGTGGGGGTCCTGGTTCTGTTGTAGTCACCAGCCTTCATTCAAATCAGGTTGAATCAGGTATGATTCTGTAGTGTTCTGTTGCCCTGCTGACAGAAAAACAAACAAACAATTGTACGTCACTTTGGATAAAAGTATCAGCTAAATGCAATGTAACAAACAAACTGAAACATAACCAAATCATCAGCTCTTTGGCAGAGACAGAAATAGTAGAGTAATACAGATGCATCCATGCACTACGCTCAGAACAGAGGACGCTGACATTCAAAAAACTTCTTAGATATTAGGAACTCACAATTGGTTAAATCAGACTTTAGCTCCACCTGGAGTAAACTCACAAGCAACACTGCAGTATACAAAGTCATTCAAACTAGCTGCACCTTTACCAGCTTTGAGAACACTTTCATGATCAATCATTATAGAACATATCATATATATTATTCTGAAATGGACCAATCTGCACAACGACTACTTTTACTGTCGCTACTTTCACTATATTTTGATGATAATACTTTTCTACTTTTATTTGAGTAACATTTTGAATGCAGGACTTTTACTTATAACAGAGTATTCCTACACTCTGGTACTTCTACTTTTACTCAAGTACAAGATGTGAGTACTTCTACTTTAACCCAAGTACAAGATCTGAGTATTTCGACTTTTACTCAAGTACAACATCTGAGTACTTCTCCCACCTCTGCCAATTAAATACAAACATAATATAAACACAAAAGAAAACATGAGATATAAGCAGCTCCACACTGCAATGTAAACTCACCTCCTCCAGCATGTCCCGCTCACATGTCTCTCTCTGATGATGTCTCTGCTCCGTCCTCCGTCCTCTGTCCTCTGCTCCTGCTCTCCTCCTCTCCTCTTTCTATCCTCTGAGCTGTCCGACCCCTCCTCATGCTCGGCCCCCCAACAATCTCTGTTCATCTGGGGCCAATTGGGAGCAAGGCAGCAGGGCGAGGCACTTCCTCTTTGACAGGAAACTAACAACAAACACCCAGAAACAACCAGAGGAGGGGGGGGGGGTTAATGAGAGAGAGAGATAAAGAGACACAGATGTTTAAACAGTTCTCAACAGAGCTCTAGGGGTCAGGAAAAGGTGAATGATAAATGAATATTGTTTTTATTTATAAAATAAAAGTTGTTCACTTCATGTCTATTGTCAGATTTGGTTGACCATCATTTGGTTGTTCAGTCAGTCCGTTAGAGCAACGCAAACCTCAATCATGTGGCTTGCTTCAGGATTCTTCCCTAACTAAACTGAGAGTCTGTTCATCTCACAAATCAGACAGAGACTCCCTGCCGTCTCTGCATCAAAGTATAACTTCATTATTTTTCTGTCTTAAAGCAACATTATGGACCTCCAAAGATTCGCTTCAAAGCATTTTGAGTGTGCCCTGACTGCAGTGGTGGCTATTTAACTAAGTACATTTACTCAAAGTCCAAAGTAGCAGAACATAGAGGTACTCAAGTGAAGTACAATATTGGGTACTAATACTTGTAATTCACTTGAGTATTTCTATTTCCTGCTACTTTGTAGTTTCTACTCCACTACAATTCAGAGGTAAATATTGTACTTTTACTCCACTACTTTTATTTGACACTTGTACTTTTTACATGGTTATGGTTATATTATGTATATGTACTGCTATTTTTTTCAGTACTATCTCAAATGTGCTCCATATTGACAAATAACAACATTAAAAACAACGTACATTTTCTAACGATAAAAACATTAGAAAATACCTTCAACACAGTTCGGTCATCCGGGAGGGACTCGGAGTTGAACCGCTCCTCCTTCGAGTCGAAAGGAGCCAGTTGAGGTGGTTCGGGCACCTAGTTAGGATGCCACCTGGGCGCCTCCCTAGGGAGGTGTTCCAGGCACGTCCAGCTGGGAAGAGACCAAGGGGTAGACCTAGAACCAGGTGGAGGGATTATATCTCTTCGCTGGCCTGGGAGCGCCTTGGGATACCCCAGTCAGAGCTGGTTGATGTGGCCAGGGAAAAGAAAGTTTGGGGCTCTCTGCTGGAACTGCTACCTCCGCGACCCGACCACGGATAAGCGGGAGAAGATGGATGGATGGATCTCTTCACTGTAAAGCCTTTAAAACCAGGGAAAGACATCATATGACGATATTAATTTGATATTGACTTATTGCCAAGCCATAGTGTGTTATAGTGCTTTCAGAGTTTAAGTAAGTAACTGTCCTGCTTAAAATCCACCTCTGTTGGTGTTTATGAACTTCAGTTACTGTGTATTTGCAGCTGCAGTGAGTATATGATACCCTGGGAAGTCAAAACAAGGCCCCTCTTGCAACTGCAGATGTTTGCAAGACAACTGCAGTTTACCTCCCGTGCCTCCTCCTTCCTCTTTACTCTCTCTCTCTCTGTGTTTCTTAGCTTACAAAACAAGACATCAGGGTCAGACTTTAGGGCTCATCTCTGAAGCCTCGGGGTCATTAGGAGGAGATTCCTTCCGTTTCTTTTGACAGGTGATTACTGAGGCTGTTTGGTGAAAGAGCCGCCGCACAATAGTAACTACTTTCCTTCTTTCTTTCTTTTTCCAGAGGCTGCACCCTGTGGATGGGAACTTTTTCTGTGCCCCCCCCCCTTCTGCTGGAATTCAGAGGAAATACCGGTAACACACCTGACACCTGTGCGACTGTCCTGCACCTTTCTGACACCTCGGTCTCCATCAATGAGCCCCAACCTAGAACCGGTGTCCTGTTGGTGGAATGCAACAGCAAGTACATTTACTCAAGTACCATGAGTATAACTTGAAGTTCTTATACTTTACTTTAAAATGTCAATTTAATCATACTTTTTGTTCTACTCCAATACATTTTGAATACATGATTTTGTACTTTTTTCTCTGCTTGCTACACATTTTTGACTGCTTTAACTATGTTGCAGATTAATCATTAATATAACATATAAATAAACTAATACTGTAAATCATGGTGTATTAGAGTAGGTTATAAGCTCCCCAGCAATATATGAAAACATTATAGCTAGCCCCACCTTAACAAGCTGCAACATTACAGTGATAAACACATCCATGTATCACTGATTGTAATACAGAAAAACAATACGATAGTGAAATGGGCCATTCTGCATAATGAGTCTTTTTACTTTTGGTACTAAAAGTATATTTTGGTGATATTACTTTGGAGCTTTGACTTAATTTTGAGTTTGAATGCAGTAGCAAATGTTAGCGGCATACAAACATCATTGGAGAAACACACCCTAATGATTTTTTAGCATGACTCTGCATGTTACAGTGTTTTTACCGCTTTTAACTTGTGTGCCCATTTGTTTTGGAGAGGAGACTTTGGCTGATTATTTTGCTCGCAGTAAAAACCTCTTAAGCATCTCCATCTTAACAGAGCAACACACTGAGCTCACGTTCCCCTCCATCCCATGTTTGCCAAACTGGGCAAGGGCAACACTGCAATAACAGCAATAGAAGCCAACCTTTTATTTTTACTTTTTGTTTGGTTGTGCGAGTACCCTTTAGCTCTAGTTCAATGCATTAAACAACCTGAACAGGGACAACCCTTGTTGAATTTCACTGATCACAACTTGATATGCCATAGTAGCCCGAGTGTCTGTGGGGTTTTTGTTCCAATCAAACGCTGCAGCAGCATGTTTCACACTGATTTGCACCTTCAGCTTCACCTTCATCGGCAGCGGAACTAATGGGTGAAATCTGCAGCTGAAATCTTGTTGGATAAAAAATAATAATGCTGTCTCTTCAGGCTGTTTGACACTATGTTACAAAGTGAGAGCTGAATTACACAAAAACATATACATTGTCTCAATGAGATAGCTTTATTTCTAAAACTATTTTTTTTGTACTACCAGTGTGCTGCTTGAAAAGTATGTTCTTATATGTTCTGTACTACACTTTAATGAAGTCATCCATCACACCACAAATGACAAATGTGGCATGGCACCTGTGGCACAACTCGCTCCTAATTTCCAAGGTCTCTGCAGCTTCTTGTCTGTCCCAAAGTCACGCACAGCTGGTCGGCAATAGCCATTTTTGTGCAGAAATGTTCATTATGAAGCAGAGCGGAGCGCGGGAACGGGTCCCAGCAGTAACAATAAAATCACGCTGCAAAATTGGGATCTTCCTTGAGTATCTTGCTCTTCTGGAAAGCCTGTTTTCCGGGCTCACTTGGTGGATTAAAACATTTCCTGTCATAGAGGAGAATTTTAAATTAAGTCGGTACACAGGTGGCCGATTTAATGGGGGGAGCGACGAGGTGTTAATGACCTAAGCAGGTGGTAGAAACAGCTTTAATGAAACAAATAGCCTCTTTCAAAAAACAACCTTTATACGTGGACTATGTACAATATTTAAAAAAACAGACAATGATAGATGATGTTTCTCTTCATCTTTGGTCGTCTCACCAAAGATTATTATACTCATTCAGAGACATTCAGGATGGAAGTCATTAAATAAGATGTTTTTCTCCAGTGTCACCACGATGAAGAGATGTGCAGTGATTTAGTCCTTTTTCTAATGTCTCTAGTTATACTTAATAATATTACATAATAAATAGTGTTGGTCCTCTGGTTTTTAGGGCAGCATTGTGGGAGGTTTTAGTCCTCCGAGGTCACGTCTATGTCCTCGGAGCCTGGCTGCTTGGTGGCCATGCGCCATCTGTTGATGTGGTGGTTCCCCTTCTTCTTCTGCTGGCTGTCCGGGCCCTCCTCCTCCAGCTTCTGTCGCTTGTACTTAGTCCGCCTGTTCTGGAACCACACCTTCACCTGTGCACAAAAACAAACAGTGTCAATGATCATGACGCACTTTTTTTTTAAAGAGGTGGCACCCCAGGTGAAAAGGGACAATGAATATCTAATAGATTACACCATGGCCGTTTATGTTTAAACATGCAAATAATCCTTGTCTTATGAATATACAGTTTTGCATATATTTCCAGAACTGAGTCAGAAGATTGGACAATACCAGGTCCAAAATATTTTTTCATTTTGTTGACGGGTTCAAAAGAGAACAGTGTCTGTTGACAGCCATACCACACATTCATTCCCATAGCCCTGTTTTTCAGAGCAAAAATAAGATGCATGATTTTCTTAAGTACATGGGGATGTCTTGAATTCCCTTGAGGCAAACTGTCGAAATACCAATTACAAACAATTGACAATGTTGTGAAACAGAGAAAACGCTGCAAATAGTTGTGTTTGAGAGGCTTCGACCTGAAAAGGTTAGGCATTTTTGCTTTAAAAATGTTAATCTTTTATCAATCAACTAATTTATGAATTGGGTCATATTTCCAGTTCAACCTGTGATTTTCTAACTGTTAAAATGTCTATGATTTAACTTTCCTTCCAACATTTAGTTACTGCAAACCACTGAACCTAAACATTAAAACTCAAACAAGTAAAACCACTACTAATCACAAAAATGCTTTTCGCCATTTAAATGAAGCTCCGATAATTAACACTTTTGGATTTTGCCAACTCCAGCATCACTTTTTGCAAAACAACCTCTTCTCTTTGCGTTCATAACTAAGAATGGCATTAGTGTATGAAAGGTCAACGGACAACATATATTTCTGACTGACTAGAGTTGTTGGTATGACCTTAGAAAATGAGCGCGGTGTAACATAGACGAAGCCAGGATGCATTTTTTAAATAGCAACACAAACGCTTCCTTCTTTATTACCGCTTGACTCTTACAAGCTTCGGGCTAACTCTAGTTGTCCCTGAAACACTGATGTCTTCTTTCCTAGAGCTGTGTGTGAGTATCTTTGTTTATTTGTTTTAAGTGGAGGCAGTGCAGAAGACGTTGTGTAAGGGTTAGCCAGTGTTGTTATTTTAGCATCCATTAGTTATTCTTCTGATTTATAATAATGCTAATTTAATATAATCCCACCAATAGTCCACATGTTTCTACTGGTGTCCTTGAGTGCTTAATTGAAAGTAACAGCAGATCAAAACACTTAAAGTAGGTCAATTCATATTCAGTTCAATCTCTTTGTAATTAGCATAATGCAATTTGTGCTTAATTGCAAGCCTCTTATTTACTGACACAAACCCTGCAAGCAGCATTTATCCACAAAGCTGACTCAGGAAAACTCTGGTTATATTGCCTATTAGGCCTAATTGACATCCAGACATTGTGGACTCATTAAACTTAACCATCAATAATATTTACACATCTTATTTCTATAGCACGCATTAATTAAACACCTTTTAAGAGACTCTTTTTCTCATGCTCTAAGAAGGGTATTATTTCAATTGAGTTGCACTGTTTTATGTTTGTTTTTTTAAGTTTACAATACAGCTATAGCAAATGAAAGATCATTTCACACTGGAAATAAATGGTTTACTCTTCTTTAGCATTATAGTACCCTGATATGTTGCCACATAAAAGCCTTCATGGACAAAGATGTATCCTAAGCTAAATATACCTGAAATAAAGGTTGACATAACCCCCCTATATATTTAAATATATAACTTTTTAAGAAATATTCTTAATGTATTCATTTTTTCTATAAGGATGTTGTCGTTAAAATATCGCGATATTGCGATAACACTTAGGTTGGGGTGTAAAGGGAAAATATGTTGCCATGGAAATGACTGCTTTCGGTAAACTAACGTGAAATGAGGTAGAAATGATAAAGATTGACCTGCTTTAGTGCTTTAAGGTGGGCAACACATTGAAAAATCCATACTTAAAGGCTAAATCCACTTATTCGCATAGTGTTAGCATTAGCACACCTGTGTTTCATACAGCTGTTAGTGTTAGCTTAGCATTAGCTCAACACAGAGCCCTATATTAATATCAATATAGGGCTCTGGCTCAACAGCGTTCCATACAACTGTAAATATTAGCTTAGCATTAGCTCACCTGTGTTTCAGATAGATTCAAGTTGTTAGCGAGCTGCTTCCTCTCGGCTCCGACGACGTAGTGGTTCTTCTCGAAGGCTCTCTCCAGGCGGAGGAGCTGAGACGGGGAGAAGGCGGTCCGGATGCGCTTGGGTTTCCTGGCGAAAGGACCGTGGAGGAGCATGCTGTCCTGGGACACATCGTTACCTGACACCAGCGAGGAAGAGAACAACACGGCCCCGTCAGTCGGTCAGTAAGGAAACTTTTAATTACACCAATTGTATCTGGGCATGTAGGTAGGCTGTGCGTGTGTTGAAAACGGTATTAATAGAAAACGGTGAACAGTGTGTTAATGGGTCTATTCTACTGCAAAGTGGGACCAAATTATGATGTCATTATGTTAAAGCAATTGTGTTCAGCAAAACCTTGAATATATAAAGATTTCGATAACATTATTAATTTCGATTTTTACATTATAAATCATAATACAAATATATAATTAGGCTAATTAGCATAATTACAAGGAAATCAAATATGTATTGCTATGAATTATGGCCTATTGGAAACAGTTTTATGTCAAATTCATTTTTGGTAAATGACCAGCTGTTTTTAGAAATAGACCACTTTGCTTCCATGTAAAGTTGTCTTTTTATTGCTTTCATTTTATATATCAGACCTATTGGAAAATCATTCATTTTAAGTCTGTAATTTAACGTACATTTAAGGCATGACAATTCATTTATACATATGGAGACGGACGGAGAACATTTTCAAATAGGCTCTCATAATGCTGAACAAACCTGATAAAGGAAACACATTATGAGACTAAAACCGTGTTTATTGTTGATCAATTAATTTGTAAACACTCAAAAGAGTTTAATAAAATATAATCAAACATATAGGACGCTGTATGGTTTTCAAAAGAGAAATTAAACATTAGATGCATGGCCTACAACGAATTGTAATGTAATAATAATAATATCGGGTATACAATTGTATTCTTCTGATTGAATAACATTTCCTGACAGCAAACGAAACAAGGTGTTTGATCACTTGGTGTGATTATTTTGACAGAGAATTGTGGTTGTGGAATTGATCTGTAGCCCATTTGGCTTTCCCCGTTTTACACTTCCTAATATTGAGTCAGGAAGTTGTAACCGAAATCGAAAATATTCTAAAATGAGATGTTTATTGTTGTCAAACACTTTGAATTTTTTTAAGTCGTTTGTATTTGTTAAGCTAATATGTTTTTTTTATATTGTATCCCAATAGCCTTAATTAAAGTTAATTATGGGATATTAACAAATGAGCATAAATTCAATTATATTAATTTCCTTAATAAATCATGTTAATTGTAATGCTTTGCATCGTTCTGTGTATTATAAAATACATTTTCTCCCCGGAACTTTTTGAATGCAATAAAAAGTTATATGAAAATAAAGGTTTTCTTAAACTAGGCTATATTAGATAGATAGATACAGGGTTAATACATTGTTTTGGGTTTGTTGATCTGAGATTAAGTTAATCACTGCAGGCTGTATTCAAATAATTTGCTGTTAAACCTGTGCAGTTTTTTCATTTCCTTTCTATTCCTATTATATTTAAATTACTCTCTTCGATTTTTATCACTTTCGTCAGCCGTGCTGTTGTGTTTGAATGAAATGAGCCTAACCTCGGGCTAGATTTTCTTGTATGGAAAAACAAATCTAGATCAGAGCTTATCTACTCCTGGCTATGCTTCCTGAGAGTATAGCTGCAGGGCGACTGAGAGTGGAAACATGAGGGCAGCCTGCTGCTAGCGCCGTGGCCTTGTTCGGGTTATGGCTATCTGTGCCGGCAAGTTATCGTCCAACTAAGATATGTTCAATGTTGACAACAGTGTACATCCAAGAAAAATAAAAGATTAAAGCGATTTATAACCTGAAATAGGTTTAATTTGTTGTTCACACGGGTAACCCATGCACACACAGAAATCCGAATTTTTGTGCACAAAATACTTTTTTTTAGGATGTTAATTCATGCCTAATTTAATTACACCCTTGGAAAAAGCTTGTATAATGTTTTGGTTGAATACAATATTGTGTAATTTGCATAATCCCCACTTCACTCACCTTGAAATCTGTGTCCGAAAAACCTGTTCCGTAGCACCCAGGGGTAGAAGTTGAGCGGGTCTCGGTGTTGCGAGCCGAAGAAGTGCGGATGCTGCAGGTGGTGCGAGCCTCCCAGCTGGTGAGGGGCCACGGTGAGGGAGGGGTGGTTCACCGTGTCCGGGAACATCAGCTCAGGGCTCTGGTATATGGTCCGGCCCGCTGGATGCTGGTAACTGTTCATTAAGGCATCTGTCGTCGGGTTGGAGTAACTTAAAGCCGTGGGGCGGATGGGCTCCTCGGACATCAGAGGATTCTCTTTAGCGACCAGAGACTCTATCGTGAAGCAGCGCTTTCCTGCAGTGGAAAACATCTTCTTCTTGCAGAAATAGGAACCAAGAAGAAAATATGAAGTGTTCTTCCTCTTGCTGGAAAATAAGTCTCAAAGATGCACCATGACCAAAGAGTGTTTTTAAGCTCGTGCAGTTGAGATGCTGCTGCAAAACTCAACAGTGCTGCTGCTGCAAATTGCCCTGATCCAAGAAGTCTACGCGCTCTGAGGGTTTCAGTGCGCCAAGTAACGCGCCTGCAACCTTCAATGTGTCTTGAGGCTGCGCAGGAAGGCATCTGATTGGACCAGAGCTGCCAATACTTCTGCTCTCCTCAAGTACCTGCTCTATGGATCACACAGGACCCAGCCGCTTAGTTACAGAGACACGCTGAGAAAACATGCGCGCCCCAATTAAGGGCTCATTGTGGGTCCTATTGGGCGTAATATGTAGTTTTTCTTCAGGGAAACAGTGGAGGGTGGAGACGTTTCCAACCGATTCGGTGCAGGTTCAATCATCCAGGAATTCTCTAGTGATATCTATAGCGTCAAGGAAATTAAACTTCATCCGTAATTCGACTATATGCAGGAAAGAGAGTAGTTTTAATAATTTATAGTGTTTTACCCTCATTATCATGTTTAATCTGTGCTGGACCTTTAGCTGTTTGAAAAAGTCTTTAAAACACAAGCTGTAAAGGTCACACATGCAATTTCTATGAATAGTGTTCTGAAACATCGTGATACTGAAGTCAAAGATATGTAACTCATATTCTCCATTGAATTGGATTTACATTCAGGTTAACGTGCACCTTGAATTATCATTGTGTCCGTCCAGCATCAATTGGCCTATGCAAAGTCCTATCAAAAAGCACAATTTACTGCCTATATTGGCATTTTTCATTCTTAATTTCTAATTGTTTTTTCCTGTGGGAATGTTGTAATAAACGTGCACTGTGAACAAAAAGTATCGTTGAACTACCGGATAGATGCGTTTTTACTGCAATAATAATAACAATAATAATGTTGTTTAATATTATTTATTTGTCCTTTTATTTAATCAATTGATACATTATTTATGATATTGTGGTTCTACGTGGGTAAAGGTGTTTACATGACTCAAGGATTAGAATACCTTTATTGTTCAAATAATGTTGTGTTTTTACATGTTATTTAAAAAAACGAACAATAACAAGATATTGAGATAATTAAATAACACGAAAATAGTTTCTAGATGTTTTGGGGTTTTAACCTAAACATTAGCACCCAGTGTGTCCTCTGTGAGAACAATCAGAGCCTGTAATTGTGTTTGCAGCTCACCGGCTTCCTTAGTTCTCCCTCTCACGCTTCGCTTCATGGTGCACTAACCAAGTTAATAATTATCCTCCTAATACACTCGTTTGCTTGGAGGTTGCATTAGAAAATCATTACCGATGGAAATTATGAGGTAAAACAAGTTGTTGATTGGGCTTTTAGAGCTAAAGGCTCCTAAAGACGGCAGCAGGTGACTCGGTCTCCAAAAAGCAAAAACATTTTATCCACCAGTGAATTTTGTGTGTGTTACATGTTAACATCTTTATGTATTTACTGGGTGAGGCCTGAGCTCTTTCATACAGTTTTACTGGAAATGTATTTCCTTATACTTGCATGACTCAGAAGAGCCACTGTTGTATTTAACTTCCCATTTAAATCTTATTAAAAAGCGTATGTTGATTATGATCACCGAATTTAAATGAATGCCATACCAGTTTCATGTTGTTCTGTGGAGTTATTTTGCTTCAGGATACAAATATACTCATCACATTTTCCGTTTAAAAGTATTATGTTTTGGTGTAAGGTTACAGGATACATATAAAGGTCACATATTGCACAATGTTATATTTGAACTGTGCAGCAGCAGGAACTCACGGGCTGAAAGGGCCGGTTGGGTTTAATGATGAAACCCTGCGCGCATTTACGCACTGACCCTGATCGCTGCTGGTTAATAGATGTCCAAATCGCTCTGCATTAACAAAAACAAAGCAGAGCAGTCTACCTTTGTTCCGTACCTACTGTTTATTCCACCCCCCAGGCTCCGGAGGAGAGTCTGAGCAAAGAGAGGAAAGTGAGCGGTGCAGTGGAAATACCTTTAAAGGTTATAGTGACATTCCTCTAGTTTAATATCCCTGATAAATTTAACTGCGTGTGTGACAATTACGCGAGAATATCTTTTGTATCAAACTCGATGACATAATGTCTTCAGATTATTTATTAATTTACGGATTACAGCATGTTACATATTGGCCAATAAATAATATAAAATATAGAATATAAAAGATCATAAAAAGCAGGTCACATTTTTTTTGTATATGCACCAGTTCAGCATAGCTCCAGTATTTGTGAAATATTTCTAAGCATTTTAAATAATTTCCAAGTTTATCAAGTGTTAATTCACCCTAGCTTTTCCATGGTTTCCCATAAACGTGTATTATCTGGGGAAGAAATACAGAGACACATTTAAACACCACAACTTGTTAATACATAAAGAATGAGAAACAATATGTAACTTAACAACCTTTATATTAAATATCTGACTGAAAATATTAGCAAATAAAGGACATCATTCTGGAAACATCATGACTGTAATTTAAAACTATTCCATTTGTATTAAAAATACCAAATTATGTAGTTGTAAATTATTCAAATGTAATTAACTGTATTATGTCTATTTATTTCACCAGTATAATCACAATACTACAATAGCGTAAAGACCATTTCAAGAATTATAAAGGGTTACAAATGACTTTGATCTAAACTCTACAGACCAAACAGTTATTGCAAAAAGTGTCTTGCGTAAATCTTTAAAGTCTGCTCTTATAAATATAAAAATTCAATTATAACATTGTCCAAACATTTTGCACATGAACAAAATATCACTGCTCAAGATATTCTACTTGTTAATGTTCTCTAATATCCAGAATGTATTTTATATCGGGGTGGTCATGGTAAAAGAGGGACAAAGACGAAGAGAAGGCAGATGGCTCGATTTCATACTAGTGCTGCCCTCTAGTGGCCTACAAAGGAAAAAGGGTTGAGAAAATGTGACTTTTGCAGACACTTGCCTTAATAAATGAATAAATGGTATAATTATAGTATGATTGAGTTTGGCCCATATACTTAACTTTATGACAGTTTTAAAATATGTATTACCAAAATCATATTAAAATAAGTTTAAAATGTATTATGGTAAAGAAAACATACCAAAGGACCAACGTGAACATGCAAAATGTTTAACCTCTTTTCCAATTACAAATGCCTGTATCAAGGAATTTGATAACGTACATTAAAATACACTTATTTGTAGAAACAAATGTATATTTTTGCTCTATCATCATGTATACATAATACCTCCAGAGGAGCTCTCTCCTCAGTCTCCTGATTCACGGTGTTGTTGTTTTAGAGCAATGCTGCCATCCAGTGGTGGAAAGGAGTCAGAGCAGGTTTTTAAATTAAAGATTTCCTTCAATGGTCAACTGGAGCCTTTGACCTAAGCAGGTTTCTATTTAGTTACCAATCCCGGTTGTTTCAGTTTAACATGAGCAGTATTAACCTGATTTGATATAAGTACAAACCTTGGAGGTTAAAACGTTCTCAGTCTTAGTAAGTCTTACAAGTGTACAGAACCCATGAACTCAACATAGGGGCACTTTAGATGTCAATGTTAAATACTTCAGAACAGAGACAGAAATTAAGCTTTCCAGAAAAAATAAATATATTCTACAAAGTAAAGGGGGGGCTTAATACACGAAATAATCCAAACTAATTGTAAGTGTTTTAATCTCGAAATGTATTCAACAATTCTCCACATTAATTCCCCTCCTTTTCTGTGGTATAAGGCAACTTTGTACAAGGTATATATGTGATCAACTTTAGACATGTATCCTCAAGAAATGTATCATCATTTAAAAACAATTTGGCTCGTAGATAAAAATGATTCTCTCTTCCTCTTCCTGGTGATTTTGAGGATGCAGATTGAAGCGTCAGAGACCAGCCGAGGTTTCCCCTCTCACCTCCTGCGTTCATTAATAAACTAATTGGCCATTTTGTTTCGCATTAGCGTTGTGTGTTCAGCTAATCTGCTCCACTTAAATACTTGGAACATTTCACCCCGTTATAACGAGATGGGAAAAGTAGCACGTCACTGCGTTTGTGCCACCTGCACGAGAAGTGCGGTCGTTTAGTCACCTGTACCGGGCTGCTCTGCTGCTCAGCATAGACAAACATTACACCTTCAACCGCCCTGGAGAACAACGTGTTCATATCGAGAAAAGGCATCTATCGCTTTTTATTTCGCTGAATCAATGTGTTTCATATCTTAAAGTAGATTAACCATTTTATAACCATGGCGTGAATATCATCAAGTGCAAAAAGTGTGAAATGTACATTTGAACTGCACTAAAGCAGAATAAAATACACCTATTCTAATATGAACATTTTGGCGAAGCTTTATCAGATACAATGTGCTTTACGGCAGTTGTTTTGTAGCGATTTATAAAGAAATAAAATCACTGATAAAATATATGATGGTATTTTCTGATGTGTATGTATCGTTAACACAATGTAATCCTGCTTGCATATTGGAGATATGATCCAACGGTTTTCCCGCATTTTTTTCATGGGGTATGTTGTGCGTAAAAGGCACACGTTGGATACATTACGCATTATTTTAAATCCAGCTGAATCCGGATTCCTATTTTTAATGTTGCTCTTTGACTGGTCTTCACGTGGTTCTCTGTCGCTGAACGTGGACAGCTGCTGCTATTTCCTGAGAGAAAGCAGTCGGTCATCCACACATCAGGAGGATGAGGAGCTCCTCTTGTCGGTGCCCAGAAGTCATTGTGCGCCTCAAATGCGGACCTTTCAGCGCGAGACAAAGGGCAGCTTCTACTTCAAACGTTTGTAATGAAAGCTAATGACTATTAGATCGAGTAGAAGGGCCCTCGCCTTTGCAAATACAATGCAAAGGAGATTTTTTTTTTTACAATCGCCTACCCTAATTCAAATGAAGTGCACTCTGCTATTGGAGCTGGAGGGTTATTGCTCTCCATGAGAACTTTCACACCTTACATCCGAGCTGAGTCATGAGACCAAGGGTGTTTGAATTCAGGGAGGAGAAATGTTTTAGGTGTTTAAAGATATATAAAAACAGGGTGAGGATAAAGACTCCATTTTGACTGTTATCATTTAATGTGCATTAGTTTGATGGATTCAATACATTGGAGTGATAACAAAGAGATAACACCTTACAATTCAATAGTATTCAAAAAGTGGAAAAATGCAAAGGAAATCCTTTGTTTCAGCTTTTAAAATATGAGTATTTGTAGCGTTCCTTTGTCACACACTGCAGTAAACTGATCATGTTGTTTGGACAAACACATTCATTTAAAAATATGTAGACATATTTAACAATTAATCAATATTGACAATAAGCATTACATTACAATACATCTATACAATTCACATTTCATGTTACTGTTGTTACAGCCTGTGCAACATGTTTGATCAATGAATTGCTTAACATCACTATTTTGGCTGTTCATAGTTGCTATCTTTTGCTTGTTTTGCAGTTACACTGAACAGGAGGTAAGGTGACTTCACATCAAGCGCTGGTGAGTTTCAGATTATAATATTTATTATAGTTTTTACTCTAAATCCACTAGTCACTGCAGTCAGTAATGTCCCAGAGCCTGCCTAAGGTGATGTTTTCGTTGTGTCCTTGGGCAAGACACTTTGCCCGCATCTGCTCCTGTGGGTAATATCCACAGTAATGACTCTTACATGTCTAATATGTGTAATGTGTAATGTGTAATTGTAAAGCGCTTTGAGCACCTGTAAAAGCGCTCTATTTAAAAATGTAATGCATTATTATTATTATTATTATTATGTTTTCGAAGTAGCTTTTTTTGCTCAACCAACAGACATATCTAACTTGTTATTACATTTTCTATAAAGATATAATTCAAATTGAATAACCAGAAGTTATCTTATAGAGTACACTATACTTTTAATATAATTATTTAAGGAGATCCACCCAGACTCACCATGAGCAAGCTAAATGAAAAACCTCAACAATGTTGCAGATTACATTTCATCCCCTTAACTAATTGTTTCAGCTCTATAAGATAGAGTGCAGCCTATAAAGAGACAATATGTTCTGAAAATGCAGTGTGGATAAACCTGTTGTTATTGTCAGTAAGACAAACAGTTGCAAAGGGAATAAGAGCAACAAGTCAGGAGGTAAATGAAGATGTGACAGTTTCTTTTCATAAGGAGCTTCAGAGCCTGCAGTGAGTCTTAAGAAGCCCAGGCAGTGCGGCATGTTTCCAGCCGTTAAGGTGCCTTGTGCTAATTGGGACGATGAGCCCCGGTGACCCCCGCTCCCCCCCACTCCTCCCCAGGACTCTCCAGGTTTTCCCAGGCCTCTGACTGCTTCTTTCTTCCCCTCAATGGGATTACGTTGGGCTGTGGAGAGCGGAGGGGAGGGGGAGCTCTGATTCCCGGCTGATCACATCAGAAACGGCTCTCTGGGGTTTTTACACAAATTCTGCTCTAATCACAGCAAGCAGAAACACCAGGAGAGGCGGGGGGGTTTATTAAACTTCTCTCTTTGATACTGTTACCTGACCTCTCACAGCACCTCTGCTGCAAACATCCAGTGTGTGCTGCGGTTATATGTGTCTTTGAAGCATTTACATATTAAAAACAGGCCACTAGAGGTCAACATGTACAAAACCATTTCTACATTAGGATAAGGGCCACATGTGAAATTACTTTTGACACCGGACCAAAGGTTAAACAGTACATTTTTCTCAGTATTGTGACTTTTTTCCTGAAGAATTTGGACTAACATCACAATTAGAAAAACAAAATTCACTCTTGGTCAGATCTGAAACATTTGAAGCTGTTTATTAGTCGAGTATACAAAAATCAAAGTTTATGAGCAATGGCTGCAGAAACTACTTCATCGTCTATCTATATTGTCCAAACTAAAAGCCATAATACCTGAGATTAGACATTAAAAGTTGATATTTTCAGGGTCACAAGCAAACAAAACTACTACTACTTGATTACTTTCTACTTCTGAGGAACAGTGTATTACCAGTAAGTCAAATAGCAGCCTGTAATATAAGTATTAACACAATTTAGGGATTAAAAGTGTTGGAAACCAGTATGTGTTCCCAGTTGGATGTCTTTGTTTAATTTGCTGGAGTTATCCACAGGACAGGTCTTTCAGCTTCACCTCCCCAATTAGCTGCTCTGATGGACTCGTTTGCTGCATCCCAATCCTTTCTGCACGCTGTCCTCTCTCGTGTTTCATCCTTCATGTCTGCCAGGCAGGCTTCAGCACACAGCAGGACTCCCTTTCCACCTGGAAGCCAAGACGTGGAGTTTCTATAGAGCAGAGACAGGACACCTGCCGAGGTGGGGTGGGGGTGGGGGGGAGGCATGTGTGTGAGAACAGCCGTAGTGACCGTTTAAACAGATTAGACAGTGAGGCGCAGCTCTCTCCTGCCCGAGACAGACTGACCCTACCACCCCGGGTTACACATATCCACAACTAATCCCAGAGCTGGTTATTTATTTGCTTAGCTTAAAGCAGAGGGGAACCTGAGTCCATCCCCACATTTTAACTTGGATCAAACCAAGGAGGAGATGTCTCGCCATGTCTCCGTCATCTTTCCACCGGGCGCAGAGTGATCTCAGAGGAGCAATAAGGAGAGGTCAAAGGGCATGGGGGTGGTTTTATAGGGGACAGGTTTTCTCTCCTGAATTAAATCAGTTTATGATACTAATGTGCAGATTAAAAAACCCTCGCAAAATGACCCCTAATAAAAAATGTCTCCTATTGAAATTGAAATGTTGGTGCTCTTTTGGTAGGGAACACAAAAGTATGATGAAAGGTCTAAGGCACTATTTTTTTTAAACGTTTGCTTAGGAGGCTATTCTGTAAATTCTCTCATGTTGACATTTGAGGCCAATGGAGGCTTCAATCGATGGATTTCATATTGATTCAAGGAGTGATATCAGAAGAGCATGACCTGATTGGTGCAGGTGGGTATTTAAGAGTGTCTCTGAGGAAGGTCTGTGTATAGAAGCTTCATTATGAAGAGAGCAGTGCTTGGAAGTATTTTCTTTGGCAAAAAAACCCAAAAGCTGGAAATAGTCTATCTATTTTATTACTACACAGCTCTGTCTTGTACCCAAGCGCTACCTAAAAATGTACACGTATGGGTTTTGAATTTCATAATTAGCTAAGCATCTGATAAGGCAACATATTTTAAATATTTTTTTGCAGGAAGATTACCATGGGGGTTTCCTCTTTATCTGTTGATTCAACCAAATTATAAGTATCAGTTCCTCTGATAGTTATGCAGACCTGTTTTTATTTCAAACCCATTGAAAAGCTTTTTTCAGTATTTCACTTAAACATGAAACGCACTACATTGGTGTATTTAGACTAAATGAGACAAACTCAAAGTGAACATTTGGAAAACTCATCTTGTTTTGTAAATGTTTTTACCCTCAAAATTAGAATTTGCTGACAGTAGCATAAAAAATCCAAAACGTGATCAGATGTTGATAAAAGTTTGTAACATCTTAATGGGAGACAGTGTAGAATGTCTCCTGTTCCCAAATAATTGCCCGGCCGATTGAAAGAGCAGGGATCATTTCAAATATCTTATGAGACATACACTCTTCTAATTTTGGTAGATCTCATATGTATCAGTTCAACTGTGTTACATTTGCAAATACTAAATAAGGATTTAGGTTTTTTTATTTTTTTTAAGTCCAATTAAACATCTGGAAATGTTTCAAACACATGGCTCAATAAGAAGGAATGAACAGGACAAGGTTGCAATTGATGTCATAAAATATATTTCTGAAAAATGTCATTCAAATGTAAAAAACATTTCAAGTGAACTAATCAAAGAGCAAGACAATTAAATATATAACTATACATCTAATAAATATTCATATTTGGAGACACATTCCTCCTTTCTCAGCAGTATGTACAAAAGTCTTAGTCTCATTAAGTCCAGTGTTGTTCGGTCAGCAGTGGTCAGTGGAGTCATCAGACACCACGTCCAGCTCGGAGAACTCCTCATCCTCTTCATCTCCGTGGCCCTGAGATCCGGGGCTTTTGGGCGGAGCTGCCAGGCCCAGTTTGGCCAGCTTGGCCTGCTGCTGCTCCAGACTCTGTTTGCGCCACTTGATGCGTCTGTTCTGGAACCACACTTTGACCTGGAGACAGGAATAGCATCCATGTTAGAAATATTGCCTGACACATTTCAAAATATAAGTTTGAGGCTATATTTTAAATGCATCAATTCTGATTTGCAAGTCTTTATTTCTCACCTGAGCTTCTGTGAGCTGTAGAGCCGAAGCCAGGAGGAATCTCTCGGATCCGACCATGTACTGCTGCCGGGCAAACTCCTTCTCCAGCCGGGAGAGCTGCTCGCTGGTGAAGCTGGTGCGCATGCGCTTAGACTTCCCACCTTTGGTTTTGAACAAGTGAAGCCCTGCATTCACTTTGGACATAGAGGCTGAAAAGAAGAGACGACACGTTTAATCACACTGCCCCATTGCAATAGTTAAAGTAAGTAACCATTATGCTCAGTAATAAATGCAACACTCGTGTTTACCTTGTGCGTAAAATGCTCCCCGACACGATGACTGGTAGGTGAAAGGCGGGTAGCAGTACACTGAATATCCAGGCTGTGAGTGGAGCGCGGATTGCAACATGTTGGGAGAGTAAGCGTAAGGTGTTGCTGCCATCGGTAAGCCTACGTGTCCATTAAAGGGCAGAGCTGGGTGATATTTCTCTCCGCACTGAGTGGGGCTGGCCCTGCAGTTTCTGCTTTCCTCTGGCTTGGCGAGCAAAGCATCAATAGTGAACGATTTCCCACTCTGAGGCTTCGTTATCGATGTGCACTGGCTTCCCTGGTACTGCGGGTACAGCGACGCTGGTGCGTAATTACGCATAGGGTATCCATAAGCTCCCATTGGTCTGTTCGGCACCTGCATTCTGTCAGATGTTAAGAAAAAGTAGAAAAGTATCGAAGATCTTGGTAGTAGGTGATGTTGCTCCGAGTGCAGCAGGAGAGTGAATGCTGCTTCTCCCCGCAGACCCCTATTTTATACTCGGGCCGGACGCAGAGGTGTCAACAGCCCCCCATCGGTCCTTTGTCTTTCTAAGTAGCAGATGAGAGAAACGAACATCCCGACAACGTATCCAATTAATTGGTGGAGTAGTACAAGCTGGGATTGTCAAACATCCTAACCCTTTGAATGACAAGGCTTTTGAAGAGTGCTGGGGGCAGGGACCTCAGGAGATTTACTGGGCTACAAATTCTTGCATGGATCTTAAGTCCAAATGTAATCATTACCGCTGGGAAAGCCTTGATGTTACCAAATCATCTTATTTGAAGCCTTTTAAGTCCCGGCTGGCCGACAGATGCTTTAAGCAGCGTAACAAGTCGATTCACAATTGGAGGTTTAACTAAGTTACAGAGAATCTACTGTTACATTTTTTCCCCAACCCTCTAAATTAGGAATATTCAATACTTTAATTTGCGTTTATCACAAGTAGCTGCAAATCAAGAATCACTCCTGTATGTAAACAGTCCATGATCTGTTTCCTGTATTAAATGAATGCGCGCTATTTCCAGAGTGTGCTTTTTAACAGCAGTGGTGTCGCTCCTAAAATTGGAAAAGTGCCTTTGCGTAATTGAGGCGTCAGATTCGGCAGGTCGGGTGTGGAGACAGAGTGCTGCTGGGTTTACAGAACTGCACTCTGCTAATCTCAGACACTGCGTTAATCCACAGGTTGATCCATCCCATCCTTTTAATGTTAGACTTGGAAAGGCTTCTGTTGAATCCTAAAACAATCCACAATGGTTTAAATCCTTAAATCGAAGCATGGTGGTTTAATTTATTTCGTTTAACCACAAATTATTTTATGGATTTAAGAAAGTAAAGTTATAAAAAGATGCCTTCATTCTGAAATATATTTTGGCCCGGAAATAATATCCACAAAGTGCTTTGTTTTATCGGTTTCTCATTAAAGGCTTGAAGATAAAGCGGTTCCTTTGAAGCGAGTGATTTGCTTTCTTACACTGCCTTAGCACAAAGGCTTCCTCTCTTTCAACTTGGATTATTGCCAGCTCTGCAAACTTTCCCGGCTCATTTCCATCATTTGAAGGTGGCAGAGAGTTTCTCCGCAGCCTTAAGTAACTGTTAAAACACATTTAAACACCGAGGCGAGCCGCTGCTTCCCTTTGACCTCGCAGCCTTCTATTTATTCTGTTTCACTGACACTAGAATGTCTAATGAAGAGAGCAAACACAGACTTTGTCGACCTGGCCTGAACAATAAGGGGGCTTCTTCAGATGCCTCTGCGCGCGGACCACCCACCCCAATGACCGACCCCAGTCTAGAAACCCTCCGGACAAATGACTTCATTTAAAATTGGTTTAAAATCTTTATTCAACATAAAAGCTTACATTGGCATTAAGCGATTTCAGATATTTTTCCAAGCTTATTAAAAAGAAAAAAAAATGTTGAATCTAGTGAGACATGAGATTCATTTTTAATGAGATAAAATAATCAGGACAAGTGGAAATAACCTTTCATTTAAAAAGAATAAAGCTTTTCAGATTGAATATGTCAGATACAATCTAGTTCTGGAAACCTGTTGCAGAGTGAAAATATTAGTCAATTGTATATATTTTAAACCAAAACAATAAGTACATTTAAACTATTTGATAATTCGTTTAATATTCCAGTAAAAAGGCAAAAAAACAGATGATTCACGTTTGGGAAAAGTTATTTTTTTACGGGAGCCTCAGCCTACTGAATATCTCTAAGTTTTCAGTTGGAAAAATAAACCAAGACATTTGAAGGTATCACCTGGAACCTGATGGACATTTTTCACTGTTTTCTGGATATTTCATTTAATCAATAAGTCAATGTTAATGAAAACATCATTAGTTGCAACTGTAACTGCTACATCAAGAGGGAAAACGAATGTCCATTTGCAGCCAGGTGCCCCTTTAATATTCTGTCTCCACACATCCCTCTGACATCAGCATTGAACCTCTGTCCTGTAGTGATGTAGTGAAGGATACATGTCCTCTTGTGTATTGGAGCCAGACAAGGAATACACGGACCTTTGTCCCCGAGAATCCTCTTTTCATAGTCATGGCCTGAGAGGAGAAAGAAGCTGAAGGGCTGCTCTCTAATAGCTCTATGGGCCATCCTTCACAAATGAGGCTGTCAGCTATAGCTTGAAACTCCTCATCAGCGCTCTTTCCTTCAGTATCTGCTGCTGGATGCTCACTTCTTCCTTCGACTTTTAAGGATTTGTTTTTTTCTTTTAGAAATGGTGGATGACTGATGAAATTAAACATTTTACATGCAACTATTTCCATTTTCCAATCCTCACCTTTCAAACTATTATAAAATATATATATTTTTAGATATATTAGATGGTTGACTGTTGGTAACAGACACTTGAATACTGTAATATCCAGTATAAATGAATATAACATATTTTTAGCTTGTCTTAGTTATTAACATTTGCATTATGCAGCACCTCAGTTTGACTTAGAAGTGCTATGAGAGATGTAATGTTGCTCACAATAAAACACAACTCTCATACTCATACTACATACATATACATACTCATACTACTACCATACTCATACTCTCAGAAAGATGACTTTTAAGAGACAACAATTAAGCTTAACATTTTATTTTTATTTGAACAAGAGACTACATCTGTCTCTTAATGTAAAGCAACATTTCCCTGTCAAATGCCATGGAGTATACATGACATCACATATATGACTATTTAAGTTGGTTGACGTTGTCTATGGCGAAAAATTCCCAGGAAAGATAAATGTTTTGGTTGTGTCTAAGGGCGGTGGTGGCGACTGGAAGGTCACCAGTTCAAGTCCCGGAAAGACCAAGTGCTACCGAGGTGTCCCTGAGCAAGGCAGCGTCCCCTACACTGCTCCCCGGGCGCCGTACATAATGCCAGCCCGCTGCTCCTAACACTAGGATGGGTTAAATGCAGAGAAACCGTTTCGTTACATAGTACCTGTAGGCCTACTACGTAATGACAATAAGTTGAATCTTATCTTAAAATATTTTTGCATAATTATGCAAAGAATGATGTTTAACCTTCTGCTCTTATCTAGTGCAAAGCTATGTGAGCCACTTATTGTGAGATTCAAATATCAAAGTCATGATGATGAGCCCCCAAACAATGGATGCTAAAAATAATTAATATATGAAATGTGACAGATTAGAGGGATCTGACAGAAATGCGTGTCAGAGGAGAAACTGCTGCTCGGTTCGGTCTCACCTTCCAGCTCAGTTCACACATGATTGAATGAAACAAAAGCATGGAGAAACACTGTCATCATTATTATTATTGAGGTGAAAGGGGATCGTTTTCTCACCTGCCCGACACATTTAACAGCCACTGTAATCTGGGCCTTTCCTGTCCACGCACATCCATTGCTAATGACTTTATGAAGCCATTCACAGGCAGATCCAGGGCCGCCTGCCTCTGGCACCTTGCTTCCGAGCTGAGGGCTCATTACTGGGTCCTGCTGGGCCTGGCCCTCACCTTGACTATGAATGGGAGTGCAGTAAAAGGCCAGGTACGCTCCGTCTGGCTCTAATACACATCCTGGCTCTGCTGAGGGCCGATATACACGGTGGTGTCTTCAGCAAGAGGAGCAGGATTTGATGTGAAGTTACAACCAAAACACCTGCTCTGAATCTGAAAACACACATCATCTATTTCTTTAGATAAGTCTCCCACTTAATTCAGCTTAACTCGTGTTTTGCTAGAGACAACTTGCTGAGAACTGAAGGTGAATACTGTGGTTAAAGAAAAAAGGCATTCTAACAACCTTACATTAAGAAAAAGTGATTACCGTTTTTTAATTTAGAAATATAATATTTTTCAAGGTTCAATTAACAAATTGATTATTCAACTTTCATCCTTCTGTCTGGCTAGCCATTGTACACCAATGGGACACGAAAGAAACATACAAAAGACCAACTTTAAACATTCACTTGTGGATTGATTTTACAATGCTTATGTTTAATGATGTTTAAATAAATATTGGAATAATAGAGCCTTAAATCCTTAAGTTACCAAACAAAAACCTAGAAATGTTTAACTATGCAAAGCAGTCAAGTCCATATTTTAAACTCAAACTACAAAAGTGGTTTACAAAGTAAGAATTCCAACTTTATTAACACCAAGAATTCGTATATCTCGTTATCAGTCATTACATTAACGCCATCAGCTAAATGCTTAAAATGTGAAATGAACTGACTAATTCCTGCGTTAATGCTGCCTCTGCTTACAGTGTCACTATGCAGAGTGTGTGTGTTTTTCATTTACACGTGTGGCAGAAAGAAAGGAGGACCTCCAGGCCCTGCAGCTTGGTTCTCCTGCTGACCATTAGCATTAGCATTAGCATTGACACCAGCACTGTGAACTGCTACTGTACGAGCTGCTCTCCTACGGGCTAATAGTGGCCATTTAAGACATCCATTGAGAGAAATGACCATGTCATTACCAACTTAATGAGGGATTAACTTTCTCGCTGAACGGTATCTGTTTACTGAGAGCACGGTCCTGTCCTGGGAATGGAGGATGTGTGTATTGGATCTGTCTGACACTCCATGCAGGCACTACACCACTGGGCAGAGGGGAATCCTGCAGAAAAAAGTAGAGTTTTTGCAGTAAAAATGAACTGAAATAGATATTTTTTTGTTAATGTTTCATTTTGTGATGATGCTTCAGCACCATGCCCATTAAGAGACGAAACAGTCTTGAAGAATTGAAGTAACTAATGGTTGCATTAATAACAACAAAACATCTGTTTACAAACTCTCACACAGCTCCAGCAGTATAACCCAATGGTCACTAATCCAGTATGCGCACTGCTCCACCCTTTATACAACTTTATACTGAAAACACACTCTAAAGTTGGCTCAGTGGTCAACGCGTCCGGACACGTCCAAAGTGCATTAAACAAGGTTTTAGCCAAAGTGCAAGTGCAGCCAACACAGGATGAGAAATTGAAATACAAATAATTGTTTTGAGGGTCATTTATTCCTTAAAGGCTTACACGCTAAACTCTGACTTTGTAAATAGAAATGATACAAGCTGAACATCAGCACGTTAGCATTTAGCTCAAACAGCCGCGCCAAGTTCATCCTCACAGAGCTGCTACATGGCATAGACTCGTAGATGTTATCACATGCCTGTAATGTATAATGCTGTTTGTTCACTTATTTCAAACTTTTACTTTGCTCTCTCAGATGATTTAGTAAATAATAGGAAGTTTAGATTCCAAAGGGTTGAACATCAATCTATGTGGCTGAGAGTAATAACAGTGAGAAGCATCTGCACACAGCTAATATACTTTATCAGACTATCAGGAAAAGCTTAAATCCTTCTCCAAGCAAAGAGATAGTGTCCAAATGTTGCTGCTATTCCCTTCCACTAAGTTCTATTAAAATGCTCGTAGTTGTTCCATTATCATGCGAACAAACCGGACTGAAAGCATGTTACACTTTTATAATGCAAGGTGCAAACAGATGACAGGTGGGCCGCTGTAGCTCCGTATGGAGGCGTGTGGTGCAGTGGGTTGTGTGTTGGTGTTCAGATCAGGGGGTCACAGGTTCAAACCCCACTGCAGTCAGCATGTCGTTGTGTCCCTGGGCAAGACACTTCACCCCAAATTGCTCCTGTGGGGATTGTCCATACAGATACAAATGAGTGGATTCAATATTTTTAGAAAGAAAGCCAGTGAGTACATTTTTTTATAACATGTAAACCTTAAAGTCCATACATTTGTATCTAATTCAATGTTCACCGATCCCAGTTCCTCCAAGTTATTTGAAGTTGTCTTTACATTTTCTAATAAACATTTAGTTTTTCTTTTTAGGTTAACATTTTTAGAAGAATATCAATTGTTTCATTCTTAAGTTTGTGCATCAAACATGTTTACTGAAAGCTGCTCTCTGTCAAAACCTAAAACTGCCGTTGGTTTCTTGATAAATGCATAACATGTAAATGTCCTGTAGACATTTCACATGTTTGCTGATTTGTAAAGCTCCTTTATGAAACCAATCCCTGCAGTGTTTTAGAGGGGCCCCTTCCCAGGTGCTTTGAGGGCTCTGTGGAGACCCCCCCCCCCCTCGGCCCTCTTTAATGGAGGTGAGAATTGGCGGGTTGGACTTTAACACTTGACCTCTGTTTACACTTCCTGTGGGTGTCCGGCCTCTATAAAGCGCTGCTAGCAGGACTCTGCATTGAAAGAGAGCGCGCTGCTCTGCTGCTCCGGGCTGTGAGGATCAGGACAGCCATTTCCTCTCTTCACATTCTCTGTTTGCTTATATTACTGCCACACTTCCTCGACCCCCCACACTCACCCCCTCAGGCCTTTTATAGGAAAATGATGACAAACCTGCATATTCAACATGACTTCTCAGCCTCAGCCGGCTCCATAATGGGGATTTAATGGATGTTTAATCAGGAACGGAGAATCTAGTTTATTTTTGATGATTAAGACTATCCATTGCGGTAGGGCTGTTACTAGTGTTAACTCTGGAATAATCTATAAATCCTTTGGTCTATTTATCATCAAAGTTTCTTCAATTCCAAATTACACATCTTCAATTATTTAGTTTTGTCTGACCAACAGTCTGAAACCAAAGACAAGTGAGAGCAGAAAATTCTATTTGAGAATCTATACTGACTTTTTAAAATTGAAAATATAACCTTAAACCTAAACAAACAACCACAAATTAATCAATTAACTACCAGATACATCCTGTTAGTTGTCTAATTTACGCACAGTTAGTTTACAACTTATTAGTTTTGAGTAAATGCAGAGACCTGTGTTAGCACCTGTTTAACGCTTTCACTTTCTCCAACCCACATAACATCACATTTCAGTTTTTATGGGTTAAGACTTGTCTGAACTCGCAACCCTGTGGCACCTTGAATTCAAAAAAGACGTTTAAGAAACAAATGTCTCATGGGGTAAGTAGTTCAATACAAATTGTCATTTTGTGGTTGATTTGTTTCTGTTAAAAAGGTTGCCTTCAGTTACCTCCATGCACTGATCAGTAATTCATATCCTGATATGTGTATCAGGTAAAAGCTTTGTTCTGGTCTCTTGGAAATGACAATGGAGGTCTAAAGACGTTTTTATTGTTGGAACATGATCCTAGAAAGTGTCTGAGGTCTCAGCTGTGTGGATTTGTTGTGACATATAACTTCAGTGTAGGAATAAGACTAACCCAGTCTACACTATGCTTGGTATATAAGATTATACAAGTGTCATTCAAAGGCTCAAAGAGTTAGCAAAACATGTCAATTACACAACAAAAAAGACAGGGGATATACATTTTCTTTATTTTTGTCCAAAAATTCAATTTATGTGTCTCTCAGCCCTGAGCCCATTAATTCCTACTAAAGTGAATTTCAAATATATAAAATGAATAATGTGCTTTCAGAATGCGCTTCTGTAATTATGCATTTCTCTCTGTACTGTAATTGTGCATTTCTTGGGGACCATTTTCACCGGCAAATGAATGGTGCTTTGGGGGCAGCAGTAAAGTGAATGTGGGATTCAAAGTCAAAAATGAGTTTGTTCATATGATGAAGAAACATGTGCAACTAAGTGGCTCATTGATGTGGTTTAATAGAACATTTGATTTAGTGTTCAGTCAAAAAAAGTGAATCTCTTTTGCTTTTGGATTGAACCTGTAAGGTGTTCTTTAATGGTTTTCCATTTAGATGACATGTATTACATTTGTGCGACTTTTCTTTAAATGTGAGCGTTCTTTGCATAGACTGCAGAGATAGAGGCCTGTGTGTCAGCGTTCCCTCCTCTCTGTATTGATGTAGGTTTACAGTTGTCACACCTCAGGTTGTAGTCCATTGTGTGTGTCCATGTAACTTTGAGCTGAACAGTGGATCAAAGCAGCGTCTCCATAGAGAAACACCAAACAAAGAAAGATATGCTCAGTGTGGGCCGTGATGGACTCAATGATGACAGCCCACCTCAAGGCACATTACACCTCACTTCCCTGTCCTTTCACTTGTGCAACGAGTGAAGGTCATTGTGGCTAATTTAGTGTTTTTACAAGAGCTCACTGAACACTTCAAACAAGACCACACACACACACACACACACACACACACACACACACACACTTCTCTAAACCAACTCGGTATCTCGTCATAATGTAAAGTTGTCCTTGATGCTTGTACTATACTCTTAGATCCTTTCCACTCCCGTTAGCAAGCTTTGTTGAATAAAGCATATTAAGAGAACGTATTAAATATGAATAAAATCTTACAAATGTCGTTAATCCAGTTTGGGTGGTTTCTATTTCTTGCATTTCTTAACATAACCTATTTGACTAATGTTTTCCTAACTTCTGCCCCTTCAAGAGAAAACCTATTGAACTGCATTAACTCAATGATTCAAGTTGTCTTCATTTTTTGACTTTCCAGGAAGCGTTAGCCAAATATTCTCTCGTAAAATATGCTCTAATCTGGCCGCTTCTAGATCTGATGACACTCAGGAGCCCTGAATAAAAAGCAGTTTTGCCAAATCCAGAGGTTAGCTCGGGGTCACAGCAAGAAAGGACGTTAAAAGCTAAGAAATAAATTAGAAAAAAAGCAGGAACGTTGAGATTTAAGTTGTACTTTTAGGTGTATTTGCTAAAGCTTGTAGTTGAAGTGGTTGATTTGAGTTTTTCTAGGCATTTGTCTGTTATTCTGATGAACAAGAAATATTTTAATGTTTTTTTTCTTATGGCTGTCATTAAAACTTCAAACTTCAACTTTATCAAAATACTTAAAAGGCATGAGCTACAGATACTCTTTTTGTCAAGGCAAGTACCAAGCAACTGGTCTCAAAAAGCATAGTAGAGATGTTAGGAAAATAATAGATTTTGGGGGGTGATATAAACTGTTCAGATTTGATCTTCAGCTCTGGATTTCCGTCCAACCTTTGAGGAATGATTGGAAGTCCCGTAAGAGTTTTCTAAGTGTCTTAAATAGATCAGAAGGGCTTACAGGGGTCTGGAGTTAGACGCAGCTCCTCCAGACAAATGGCTCTTGTCACTGTTCCCTAAAAGAGAGAGAGAGAGCTCCTATAACCAAACACACACACACACACACACGGAAAAGAGAGAAGACAGTCCCGTCTCTTCATTCCTGTCTGCTCAGTGTCTGAAGACAGTGACTTCCTTATTTTACTCCTCTCCATATCTGGAATTTATTTCTACTTAAAGGTCAGTATGTTCGTAAACCCTTACGCTTATTTTTACGAGGTTACATGTTTTAAGGTTTTGTGGTGAGGCTTTTCATTTGACTCCTTCTTTCTCCTCTAATATGTGACCCGACAGGACGATGGTTCCAGTTAAACTTCTCATTCTTGGATCTCAAAACTCTGGAAAAACAGGTAATCAAATAGATCAACAAACACAGGTGGAGACAGGAAGAGTCTTTGGATGAGTAACAGTAGCTTAGCTCACATGTTTTCCACAGTTTAGGCACGTAAAAGAGGTTAAGTTTAGGGTTACATTTCGGTCACGGTTTAAAGGGTTTTTCTAAATATGGAAACCTCACAAAGGTCTAACGCTGACCTCTCCTCACAAGCTCTAAAAATGGACCCGGACAATGCAGTTTAAGCCTTTAAAATCAACTGAGACAGCGAGTAGACTTAAGATACATTATAAAAGGATTAATCTCAATAGGGCAACTTATTAAAGATGATATTTAGTTACTGTTTTCAACCTAAAATGTATGGATTTCTGGACAGAGCCACATTAAAAGCACCTTACACATACACCAGAACACACATTGCCATATTAAAACGTGTGTGTGTGTGTGTGTGTGTGTGAGAGATAACTGCTACAGGTCACTTACAGCAGATTCATTTCATAAAAGTTTATCGGATGTTTCAGAAAAGCCATCATTTCAGGCTCAAAACATGACTTTAAAGCCAAGTAAATCTCCAACAACAGCTTGAAGGAGCCTGAATAACTTTTTAGCGTGTCCTGCCAAAGGGAAACTCAGAGAGCTCTCACGCTGCAGACAAAGACGTCAAACAAACGCTCCAGACTCCTTCCACCCAAACACGGAGAAAGCACTTCTGCCTTTGTTTAAAGAAGGCAGGTAGCGTTACTAAGAGGATCATTCTCAATGGAAGGAACGACAGGAACATGTTGCAGATCAGTGTCTCTTTGTGTCTGCAGCTCTGTGTGTTCGACTCCTTACCAAGCGCTTCATTGGAGAATACGACCATAAAAAAGGTAGATATGTGTGACTGTAATCATTGTTGACATTGGAGAAGTAATTGGACCAGGCTCACGGGATTAAAATAATACAATATGTGTGTGTGTCCACAGAGGTGACCTACAGGTGCAGTCGGGTGGTGGACCAGGAAGCTGTTGATCTGGAGATTTTGGATTTAGCTTGTAAGGTAATTGTTGTAACTTCGCTACTGTCATTGAGTCAACTTTAAACACGTTTCTAAATGTTTTTATAACAGGTAATTAGATCTAAGATACCAAGAAAACAAACTTGATAGTTTCATACTGCGTTCCTGGCAAGAAAAATGAATGATCACTAAATTTGATTGAATTATGTGTGTTTTATAAGTGTATAGCATCTGGAGTCATTCTGGGCTGCCATTACAACAGAAAATTGTATTCAAAACTGAGTCCTGACTAAACTTGGACGTATAACTCCATCAACCTGTTTTCCTCCGATCTTAACGAATATATTGTCAACATTTCTGCTTTGTTTTTGACTCAAATTGATGTTAAATTATGAATAAATTAAGTCTATTGATCATAAATGCCAGAAGAATATATGTAAAACTTGTGGCAAGTAGTTGTCTTTAGAGGCGTATCCCAGATGTATGTTGTGATTTAAATTTAGTTAACTATCAAACTACGATAAAAATGGCACAGTTGACGGCAAGACAACACAAATCGTATTTTCCAAAATGTCAAACTTTTTCAATTGTTTGCGCCATTAAATCTACATTTGATGATTGAATTACCATGATTCACATGACATGATGTGGCAAATGAGGTGCAAGGTGACTTGATATGACCATAACGTATAGAAAGTGGTGTTTTCATAAGGTGGTCGTCCTGCAGGACAGCTGTGCAGCCTCTCTGGAGGCGTCGCTCCGCTGGGCCGACGGCTTCCTGCTGCTCTACTCCATCACACAGCGCCTCAGCTTCCTGGAGGTTCCTCGCCTCAAGAAACTCATCGACCAAACCAAGCAGAGTCTGGGTAGGTGAAGGAACTCACTCATCACCACCGGCTGCATGCGTTAAAACATGTTTGGACAGGAGTTCAGTAAACTTAATGTGTGATCTAGAGACAACCAACTAACCAGAACAGCAGCTGGTGAACTAGTGACCCAGACCTTTATAAAAACAGTGGGTTCGCTGTGTTTGTCTCTGCTCTAACTCTGTCTGTCCTCTGTCTATTGTCACCTTTTACACACACACACACACACACACACACACACACACACACACACACACACACACACACACACACACACACACACACACACACACACAGATTATATAAACCATGTTTGGTAGCAAGACGTGTGATCTGTAGGTAACGCCTGCATGCCAGAGCTACATCGTTTATTGTCACCTTGTGTGTGTGTGTGTGTGTGTGTGTGTGTGTGTGTGTGTGTGTGTGTGTGTGTGTGTGTGTGTGTGTGTGTGTGTGTGTGTGTGTGTGTGTGTGTGTGTCAGTTGTTCCTACAGTGCTGGTAGCCAATAAAGCGGACCTGGAAATCGGCAGGGAGGTCACAACAGAGGAAGGACAGAGACTGGCCAAGGATTTAAGGTGTGTGTTATTTTTGATGAGGGCCTTTAATAAACTAAGTGTGTGTCTGATTAGTGTGTGTGTGTGTGTGTGTGTGTGTGTGTGTGTGTGTGTGTGTGTGTGTGTGTGTGTGTGTGTGTGCGTGTGCGTGTGCGTGTGTGTGTTTATACTGTAGGTGTGGTTTCAGGGAGCTGTCGGTGGCAGAATCTGTTTTAGCTGTGGAAACCTCCGTGATTCAGCTCATCAGGTTTGGTTAAACTTTATTACAACATCTCACAGTTTGCAGAAAAACATATCTTGTATCTTATATCTGTAATTGTTTATTTGTTATATCTGTAATTGTTTGTTTGTTATATCTGCAGGTTGGTGTTGGATCAGCAGCGTCCTCTTCCTGACCGACGCTCCTACATGCTGACAGTTCGCCACGCTCTGACCCGGAAACTGACCAGATCCAAAACCATGCAGTGGTGACGGCAACGAGAAACCAGTCTGCAGCTATTCCAGTGGGACATCTGAGAAAATGGACTCTTGAAGTGTGAGTTTGCCTGCTTTAAACCTATGAACTCTGTTGACAAGAACACATGGGTGCTGCACACTAAAATATGAAGTTAGAGCAAGAAATATATGTGTGTTTAAGAGTTGGGGAGAGCTTCAAAAATAGGGAATCAAAGGCAGAGGGTGTCTCTTTTTAAATTACATTTTAGACAAACACCAAGTTGTTTTTGAAGAAAGTAATATATGGACAGTACGAGCAGATATACAATGATAAATAGACCATTTCTCTCTTATTACAGGCTTTGTTTTTGATGCATACAAATAAGTTAGTTGTTATGTGTTTTGTTCTCCAGTAGAGGGCAATACAGGTGCAGCAGACTCCCCAGTGTGTCAAATATTTTTGGCCAAAACTATATGCATACCTCTGTGCAGTTTGGTATGGAAGAAGCCGACCCAGATATCCTAATTATAGCGGAGATCTTTTACAGAAGAATGGATGCAGGACACAATGAAATGTCAGTGAGGTTCATCAGTGTGTGAGTAAAGCAGTCCCTTGTTGCAGCAGGAGAGTGTGTAGATGACCCAACAGAGTGTAAAGAATGGGGCTGGCTTTGATTACAGTCTTGGCGTTATTGGACTCTGTATCTCTGTCTTCATCGCTCACTCTGAACTCCTGAACTTTACAATAACGGGACACATCTGATCTGAGGGAGAAAAAACACAGGAAAGACTAAAACAGGAAAGGAAAACATCTTTTTGGGTTTATCCAGCTCAGTTTATCCACACTGTGTAAACTAAATGCTGAAGCTCATGCCACTGGTAAAGGCTTTATGGGAAATGTACTCTCCATCCAACCACCATCATTAGTATTCATCATCTACTCCACCCAACCACCACCAACCAACCACACAACCCCACTGGGCTCCATGTGCACACACACAGGAAGGAAATGTGCAGTTAGATAGAAAGTTACATCCTTCAAATGTTCAGGATATCAGACGCCCATACTATTTATTTGATTCTACTTAATTGGATTCTGTGATTGTGACTCGATGGTAGTTTTTATTGATTACTCACAGGGTCTGCCTTTTAACCGCTTATGGATAACATTGTTACCCTAAGTGTTGCCAGATAACAAATTAGGAATTCTTTAAGATAATGAAGTAAAAATGAACTATTTGCCACTAATACAAAACAAAAAAGGAAACTATGAGGGAGATGTTGCTGATTTTTCTTCTGCCAGGTTAAATGTTTTCCAAAAGTCCTCAAATGTATACAAGAAAATATATATATTTTTTCCCTTAAAGAGCAACATATGCTTTTTTTTGCATCACATTAGAAATATTAGAGTGAAACTGTTCATACATTTTGAGTTTGAAGTTTAAGTTCTGGCAAAATCTAGTCCATTTTAAAACTGTATTTATTAGTTTGAGCTTTTCCTGCTCGTTTATTGTGCTTTTTTTCTGTAGGCCTGAATTCTAATAGCACTTTTTTTTATTTCCGGTGAAGTTAATAATTGAATTGTTATGACGGTCGTTGAGGGGATCCTTTAAAAGTCTTGTTTTGGCCTTGACTACTAATTTAATGTTAGCAGGGAGCAGAAGTCATAAATATAAAATGTTTAATTAACATTCACCAGCATGAGTGAGTGCTACAGTGAATTCGCTCCAGCCATTTAACAAGGTCAGCACAGAAAGAGAGATATTACATGAGGGTTAAATCTCTAATCGTTCTTGTGTGTGAATTATAGAACAAAAACAATGTGATGTTTGTTTGTTTGTTTGTGATGTCATCAGATTTCACAGACGGAGACAGAGGATGGGGACGATAACAACAATGGATGTGTGGCGAGACGATGACATCACAGCGGTCACCAAGGAGACGAAAGTTCAGAACCCGAGTCACCTCTTCCTCTCAGAATAGAAGATGACTCATCATCCTCGCATCATCACACCGGGAGCCAATCGGAGCGCTGCGTGTCACCACCTGCATCAACAGACAACAGACCAATCACAGAGCGACGGCTTTTCAATTTCTATACATTTTACGTTCTGAATAAATACATTAATTAAATTAAATGCTCTTTCCGGAACTAGAAGTTTGTATACAAATAAAATAAACAATATTATAGTATGTATTTCCTTGCCACCACCTCCTTTCCCCATTAGTAGATTATTTTAATATAAGGAATATTAAATATCCCTATCATATTTTTATGTTTCAACCAGTGAATGAAAAGCAGCCCATCTTTGTTGAATGTCAGCTTATTGTCTTTTTCTGCCTTTAACAGTTATTATCGCCCCACAAGTTTAAACTAAATAGGGTTTGTCTCGTGACAATATTGCTCCACAGTGCCACCAGTGGTCAAACACTCCACAGGGTACCTTTAATTAGAAGTAGTAAAGTGTACAGTAATCAATAGAAACTCGCCACAGATATACAACACCTTGTTTGTGAGAGAACAACAGATACAGCCTGTCTCGAGATGGGAAAACCTCTGTCAACTGATATCTTGAGAGAGAAAGGACACAGAGAAAAACAGTAATAAGAGATCATAACATGTAACGTGACAGTTATTGACTTTTGTTTGAATAAGAATGGACAGAAAAAGCTGATAGTAATCACCATGTCACCTCTTACACACCCTCTGATGTTAAGAGAGCCATTGATGCCCGTACCAAATTTCGAGACAATCCATTTGTAGAGATATCTCAATAAATATAATGCCCTTCTTACAAGCCTCTTTCACGGAAATCTACCCAGATTATGTAACAGGTCACAGCTCTGATACCTGCAGCACAATGGACGGGGTTTTAATCTCTCCATTTCTCTCTCTCATAGGAGTTATGTGGGGCAGCATGAGGAATGAGATGGGCAAGCCTGAGCAGACGTTGAAGCAAAAAAGCTAATGAATTCCTCTTTTACAGAGTGTGTGTGTGTGTGTGTGTGTGTGTGTGTGTGTGTGTGTGTGTGTGTGTGTGTGTGTGTGTGTGTGTGTGTGTGTGTGTGTGTGTTGTAGCTGCAGGCAATATATATCGGGGTGTCAAAACGATCAATCAAAACCGTCCCTACCTTCCTTTTTCATGATTTGTATTTCACACAAGCCTGGCTGATTAGGCTCTAGTTAAAGCTGTACAAGCAAATGTGTGAGTTCACCAAACTTGTTTTAATAAGAATAATAAAGCTTTAATTTGTCCCCCCAAGCTAATAGAAAAGGGAGCTATATGTCAGTCGGCTGGTCTGTACACGCCTACACAATCCTGAAATCACCTGTGTGTGTATAGCAGGGTGCAGGCCTTTAATGCAACAACTGTTGTATTCATTCAAGTGCATTACATTGTAAATAATACAAATAAATGATCAAATAAGTAAATATCAATGATTTTCAATTTATATTAAATGTGAGTTCATTCAAACTCTATTAATGTGTGCAATGTTGAGCCCTCACCAGTTCCTTTTGCCGTTTTTAAACTCATATATTTTAATATGCTTTATGCAAAATCATTAAAAAAACGAATCAAACATTTTCACAAATATTTTTCAGACAAAATATTGTTGCAAAGGTGGGATAAAATATAAAGTAAGTATTATGTATGTGTATTTTGGGGGGCGTGTTCGTTTTTTGAAACCACGGGGGCGGGGCTTGACTAAATACTCATTGGCTCGTGGGGGGAGGCAAAAACGCACGCGAGCAGGCTGGTCCTCGCGCACACAGCTGGATGGAAAGCGTTGACTCTTCAGCTGCAGACAGAAGGATGTGATTTATCCACATTTTCCCAGTGTGTCACTGAAAACAACGCTGTAGCCTATGGTGTAAATAACGACTGGAAACGAACACAGTTGAATTTTAATGAATTTATCTTGATATTTGCTAACAGTCCAGCCGGCTACTGAGCTGCAGACAGAAGTCATGATGGAGTCTATCTTAGACAGTTTGGCCGCAGAGAAACTCTATCCGTCCGGAGGGAGCAACCTGTTGGACCTGGAGGAGCTCAGCGACGGAGACTTCCTCACGAACGTGGTGAGTTATTCAGTTATTACTAATATTAAACGTGTCGCAGGTCCAAAATGCACCACTTGTGTCACCAGAAACACACCCCAAAAGTGAGAACAGTCCTCGATATTGTACATGTTTTCCTATGCTATTTTCAGAACACTTTTAAACAAATTATCCTATTGCAAAGTGGTGGGGACAAAATTGGCCATTTCCAAAAGTGGTGAGGACATAACCACAGTTTAAATGACGCCTATGTGCAGTCCATATATTCATAAGTGAAAAAAACGACCCATTCGGGCCTGTCACTTCTTCTTCTGCTGTATTAAAGTTCTATAAATCAAAGCACCTCTGCTGCCGGTTCCTCCCGGAGCCGGACCTCAGGAGGGCGGTGTGGACTTACATCCGGGGCCCTAGTGTGTGTTTAATTGAGCAAACTTAATGTGTGAGACTGGCATCACAGACACCGGCTGCTGGCGAGTTACTGGTTAACTTGCTAGTGCTGTGTTTGTGTGTGTGTGTGTGTGTGTGTGTGTGTGTGTGTGTGAGCTCGCCGAAGGCACACGNGATACGATACATTAACGATACCTTTGAAACACCAGGCGATGCGATACGATACGATTCACCCCTGTTGCGATACAGTTCGATACGATTTGATTCAACATTATGCGTAATGTTGAATCAAATCGTATCGAACTGTATCGCAACAGGGGTGAATCGTATCGTATCGCATCGCCTGGTGTTTCAAAGGTATCGTTAATGTATCGTATCGTGGCAACGTATCGAGATGCGCATCGCATCGGCCTCAGTGATGGAGATGCACATCCCTAGTCCACATGGATATGAAACTAAATACATTTGCACACATATTGTGTCCATATCTTTCTGTTTTGGTGGTCATGCCACGGTGCATGAATGCGCGGGTCATGGTCAAATATCTGGATTAAGAGGTTGCTTTTTCTTTGCACAGCATGAAAGAAAGGCGAAATGAATGGGCTGTGATTTGAGTTTTTTAAGCAGACGTTGAGTTCAATAATTTGTACGGCCCTCGAAGGATGTTGTAAAAATTGAAATGGCCCTTGAGAGGAAAAAGGTTCCCCACCCCTGCCCTAAAGGGTAATGAAAAAAATATATATCTTGTGCGCACAAGATACTTTCTTATGGTTAGACAGGGCATGTGTGTTTGTGTATTAGGGATGTGCATCTCCATCACTGAGGCCGATACAATGCGCATCTCGATACGTTGCCAACGATACGATACATTAACGATACCTTTGAAACACCAGGCGATGCGATACGATACACCCCTGTTGCGATACAGTTCGATACGATTTGATTCAACATTATGCGATTCGGGACGATGCAATTCAATATGGTACGACAGAGGATTTTTGTTTTATTCCTTATATGCAGCAAATCATACATTAACAAAAAAGTGCTTTACATATTTGGTTCTACTAGTACTGCACATCCCATCATGCTGTTTCTTTTTCACCTTAAATAACTCTTCAGAGTAGGCTACAGTACAATTGTATAACACCTCACAGTTAAACAATTTAAGGATGCATTGCCTATGATTAACAATGTGCAAATAACAGCTACCATAGAGCAATGCCCATACAGCTGCCAGCCTGATGTGCTTAACACTCATAGGCTAACTCACCAGTGAGCAGAAAGCAGTGGTTTCTATATGAACAATAAAAAAAACAAATAACCTTTCACAAACAGGTATTTCATGCGTCGCTAAGTTCCTCGTACTACTCGTGTACTTTAAAGCGGCACGGCATCGTTTTCAATTTGCGAGCGATTTTTCAAGTTGACCGTCTTTCTTGAAAAATCCGAAGTGCAGCCAAACGTTTGATTTGTAGATATTTTTCGGTGCGCTGTGTTTCTCTTTCTCCTCGACTTCCATGTGTGTTGTGCGAAGCAAAGATCAAAGATCGTCTCTGCTGAGTGCTGACAGGATGAGGGGATTTTATATGAATTAATCGTTTTTTTACCGATGCAAAAACGCTACGCAATCGATGCATCGCTCGAGTTCAACCCAAACTGTAGCCGATGTGCACTCTTTCAACCGGTGCACTCGCATCTTGAACGTTTATGCTGGTGCACCGATGCGAATCGGTNAAACAAGGACTTGAAAGTCTCAGAGAACAGGTGTCTCCTGTGAAGCGTGTAAAACTACACTCTTCTCTTGTACTCCTCTCCCCTGTGCATTACAACTACTTCTTTCTGTCTTGGCACTTCTTCTCGCCCTGTGCAACAACTACATCCTTTCTCTGACTTCTTCTACCCTGTGTACAACTACCTATCTTCTCTTGTACTTCCGTTCTCCCTCTGTGATACAACTGACATCTTCTTGTACCTCCTCCTCCCCTAGTGTACAACTACATCTCTCTGGTACTTCTTGCTCCCCCTGGTGTACATACATCTTCTCTGTTACGCTCTTCTCCCCTGTGTACGAACTACATCTTCTCTGTGCTCTTCTCCCCTGGTGTACAACTACATCTTCTCTGTACCTTCTTCACCCAAATCGTTATCCATAGGAAATTCAACATCCAAAAATAAACTTTTAATAATTCCCGTACAAATCGCTAATATGCAGTTCTTCCTATAAATAGTAGCAGTAAAATACTAAGTTTATAGAGCAACTAATCCTAATCCTGCAACAAGCCTATGGAGTCCAACAGAAGGCACAAACTGTACCTTACCTAAACAAATGTAGACATTATTCGTAACACATCTACACACAATTGTCGTGACAATAAAAGCAATGTAACCGATTTCATTACTCGTTGTTACGTTTGAGTGTTCAGCGTTACACGCTGTGTATGACCGAAACATTTATCTCCGAACCGTAGCCTGAACACTTTTATTGTAGGTAACAAAAATTCAAACGGCTTATTAATTAGTGTGAAAAAACTCTTTTGATTCGACAGTAGAAATATGTTCGCAAATTCCTAATTCGATTATCAATCTTTCGTCGGTTGTTCCTATAATTTTATTATGTAATCTAAATTCTTTCTTAGTAATGCCTTCAGTGGAAAATCAGACCTGTGAGTCGTCTCGGAGTCCGGACGGCACCGGAAGTTCTCGGTTTTCAATGGTATATTATTCATTTTGCCTCTTTTCAAAATTCACTGAAAAAGTGTGTAAAGGAATACAATGAACGAAAAAATCAATGTGTTACACTTATTTTACCGTTAAGTTCGACAATTTGGTGAAGTTGAAAAGTAGATTTAGTCTTTTTCGATCTATTAAACTTTATATACTTTGCTCATTAGCGACGTCTACAGACACAGATTCCGTACAAACCTTTGCTCGTAATTGCGACATTAATGACACGTAATTGGACCGAGTTGACCTCTCCGTAATCATCGGTCACACTTACTATATGTCACCTTTAATTCACGTTTACATTATAATAAAAAACTAATAAGTCGTGCTCCTAATATAAAGCCCCGTTACCATAACAAACCTCCAAAATCCAAAGCTCGGTGCCACCGGTGCGTATTCTCTTGGGTTTATATGGATGGTACACGGCCATGATATTCTCTAATTCACGCGAATAATGATAGACCCTGTTACCGTCTAATACTGTAAATTACTGTTTACTCACTCGAGAAAAAAAGGAAGTTACCCCTTAATGGCTACTCGCTACTTACGTACTCACAAACTACAATACACAAAAGCGTGTCGTCCCTTATTAACCTGCAAACCAAAGACACTTACGGAGGGTCTGAGAGTGGCCAGGAGCATCCATTAACACGTGAACTTTAACCAGAAATAAATATAGAAAACACAGTGACATGAAACACAAACTATTTACTTTGTCGTTGGTTTACGAGAACTTACTACCTGATCTTAGATTTCGACTCATGTTAACACATGTAACAACCCGAGAAATATTAGAAAGATTATCTCTCTTTTTTGATCCATTTCTATAAAAACCTATCTGAAAATGAGCTGATCAGATTTTGACCACTTTATGATGTCATAACGATGTTTTGGCTTGTGTAACCATTAGCCAATCAGCAACCAAGGTAACCCCCCCCCTTATCACCTGAATCTCCTCCTAGAGCACCATTGAGTTCTTTGTAACCAAATGTCTCTCAGAGGGGCGTGGGGAGGGGCTCCTTATTTTCATCTAAAGTAACAGACAGAGAATCAGCACTTTGGAAACAGGGCTGAAACAGAGGGGATTATGGGTAATGCTGCAATGATCTGTTTGGTGTTTCAGCCAATCAGAGACAGGCTCTGGATATATCTGAGACCTGTAATATATTGATGACAAACAGTATGATAGGGGGCCTTTTAAAATAATTTTTTTTTTCAAGTTTTATGAATACAAATACATTACATGTAATTTGTTAGATTCTTTTATCCAAAGCCACT